TGGGCCCAGGAGAATAACATGTTCAAGATCTGCTTGTCCAGGTCCTCCCTGTGGAGAACGAGAAGCACAGAAATCATAAAGCCACGATGGCTGGCCGGTACTTTATAGGACATTTACTTTAGTGCAGGACCAGGCCTAAACCCCAGATTGTGTCCCCCACGATGCACCACAATATACCTGTAAGCAGGTCATTTACCCAGATTCCTTATTAAGGACAGTCAGCTCTGAATTTAGGTTTCCAATCAATCTATCTTACATGGAGCAACCTTATCCCCACAGCAAACAAAGCAAACCATAAAATAAGCAAGGATGCAAATAGCAAACAAAACCAAAACTGTAGTGTTTCTTCAGACCTAGAAAGGGGCAACCCCGACTCTGTGCTTTTCCCTTAGCACACCAGCCTCCTTTCCTCTTTCTCCATGCCCTCTGATCCTGGAGCTATTAATCTGCAATTTAGCTTCACTCTCATTTACTGGTCATCAGTTGCAGCTGGCTCCCAGGCTTTCCAGCCATGCAGACTCCTAACCCCTAACTTGCAACTGGGTCTCAGCCCTCTGTAAGCTAAGCACCTCCTTACACTACCTTCAGGGCAGGAGGAGATATTACATGAACACTCAAATGGTCCAGTCTGAGACCCCAATCCATAAAGGAGAATGGGAATGCTAAGCATCTCAACTGTCATTCCTATGAGATGCTGCAACATCTCCAAATCAAACTATTTCATTTTTCAGGCAGAATCTCTCTTTTTCTGATAAAAAATAAGGATTTTTCCATGAAAAGCAGATGCTTTTTGTGAAGCAAAAAAAAAAAAGAAAGAAAAAGAAAAATATGAGGGAAAATTTTTGACCAGCCCGATCCGAGATGCCCCAGTGCCAGTAGTGTTCTAGGCTGAAGGGTCACTATAGTGATCCCTACACACACACCTCACCTGTTGTTGTACCCTATCCGTTCAATCTGCTGATAAGTCAGCCCCAAGTTCAACCCGATGGTCTGCCAGTCAGCTCCAATGCGCCTGGCAATGCTAAGCAGATTAGCTTGCGTCAGGTAGCCAGTCTCTTCATTCCCCAGATTTAGAGGAGGGAAGGAGAAGCCATTTGAGGGGTCACCCTGGCGCAATTTCAGTTTCTATTGAGCAGAAAAGAAGGACAGAAATGCCCTGTTAGGACAGCTTCTTTTTAAAAGGACAGCCCTACCTCATTTAGTTTCCAACACCAAGTTTTACTTCCCCACTCTGAGCAAGGAGGTGAACTGTCAGAAGTGCCAAGCAGCCTGAATTTCCACTCCAGCCAGAGCTGTGGGCATTTGGTACCTCTGAAAAAAACCAAACCTTCCAGGCCCACATTTCCAGCTCACAGCCTCTTTCTTTCCCCGTCTTTCATTAACAATTGTCTCTTGAGTTCACTTACTTCATTGTTAAGAGACAACACTTGGTCTAGACCCCAAGTCAAGGCTATAGAAACAGAAGTCCACCATACAATACCACTTTCCTTTGACACTTGCCTGGGCTGGCTGTTTGCCTTTAAGGACAAATGGCTCCTGGCACTGCACTTGTACATGGTGGCTTTATCATAACTCCATTGAACAGCCACGTACTAGACTCTTCCCTTCCTCACAAAGCTGATCATCAAGGGATTTGCATGCAAGACAAAAAACTTACCTTCATTCTAGATAGTTTCCTTCTCCCCCTCTAGTTCCTTCATTCAGAGGGGGAAAAATAATCAACCCTTCCCACACCAAAAAGACCCAACCACATGACAGTTCTCTGCAACTTGCCATTTTAATCAAGACCAGCCTTGGACTACATAAGTGGGGGCCAACCTTTATGGCAGACATGCCACAAATTAGTCCTCCAAATGCCATTCTGATCCCCTTCCCCTGTCCTATAGGTTGCCTTTTCTGCTCCCAGCCCTGTGCTCCCTTCTTGAACTGCTGTTCTGCTTTCTGGTTCCTTCCTTGTACTCCCTGCCCAATTTGCTGCTCTGCTTTCTGCTTCCTGCCCCATCTGACTCTATGAAGCCTGTCCCCTCCTTCATCTGCCATGAGACATACACAGGCTGCCTTTGCCAACTGTGACGCCCATGCTGCAGGTTGGCCACCACTGACTACAGCATCTCTGTGAATGGAACAAGGCAGGAAGATGGATGTTTAGAGAGAAGGGAGTGATCAGGTACTTTTTTATTTGTGTACATATCTCCTTGGGAGAAGAAGGGAAAGCACACAGATGCTCATCCACATAGGAAGTGTCCAGGGAAATATAATGGATATTTAAATGATTCCTGCAGTTGGGGTTGATTATCTTTAAGTGACCTCACCATAACTCTACCTTACACATTCAAGAAGTGAGTGCATATGCACAGCACTTCCCATACCTCTCCTGGCCCACATACATACACTCTCTCTCACGTGTACACACACACACAGACATTTTCCCTGTCCATCACATACTCTGAGTAGACATCTCTGCTTCTCCGTTGTCTACTCCTATTCACAAGGCCAAGTAGGAGAGACTCGAGCTTAGTGGATAGGCGTAAATACCTCCCTGTATTTAGGAGACAAAGACACTCACAGGCAGTCTGAGTGGCAGAGTAGCCAGCCAGTGGGAATCGGGCCCTTTCCTCCTCCTGCTGGCATCTTCGGGCACATTCTCTGGAACTGCTCCTCGATAGAAGGAGACCTTTGCAGGCAAAGGAGAAGACAGGATAAGAACCCAAACACCATCCCAGAAGCCATGCTTCTTTGTAATTTGTACTTTCTGGTTGGGAAGGAAGGTGTTAGGAGTTTCACATCTGATCTTCAACTTGGTCCCCACAGGATACTATTCAGTTCCCACTTGGAGCACCACTGTATTACTATAATCAGAGTGCAGTCAGACTGCAAAGTCCAGCTGCCCCTCCTTTATTGCTTATAGATCACCCATTAATGGCAGACACTTAAGATCAGATGACCACAGGCACCACCCTGGATTCATTCCACTCTCCTGTCACTGCATTTATGGGTCAGTCCCTAGAATTGATGCTGTGACAAAGCACAGCATGTACAAGGTGATGATGGTAAAAAGAGAAATAAGGCTGGGGGTAGAGGGTCTATACTCACCTGGCCTTTCACAGCTTGGTCTTTCCTATCCATTGCAGAGGTCACGTAGATTTCCTTCATGTTCTTTAAGTGGGAGTAAAAGATGAATGAGAGCCGGCCATCCATGCAGTCTGGGCGGTCTGGAGTCAGGAAAATTCAGACATCAATGCATAGGAGACCATGTCCCTTTCACCAGCAACCTTCCAGAATAGAACCTAACTCCTCCCATTGTCAGGCCTCAACCTCAGCCCCTTATGGGAAAGGGGGGCTGCCAACCTCCAGCTGTTGAAAAAGCAGGTCATATGGGAGAAAGAGCAAAATGGCCAGCAGAAAGAGGACAAGTTCCTAGGAACGAAAACAGAAGGAAAAATGCCAGGCACAAGTAGGGCATCTGCCCTTCCAAGGAACAAATCAATGAAGTGAGGAAAACCACTACAAAATAACTCCAGAGAACACAAAATAAGTGATTTCAGCTCTGTACTGTTTCCACAGTGGGAAAAAAATATGAATGAAAGAAAAAATGAAAAGGAAGGCATTATATGTAGCATTAAGACTGGCACACCTGTAGTCATCTTTCCCAAATGCCTATGGAAGAGGGTAACCTTGAGAGCTCTGGGTCCCTTTAGATTAGGCTACAGTGTCTGGTAGGGAGCAGAGGCTGTAGGCCAGACTCTGAGGTATTCCACTGCAAATGCAGTGCGACTCTATTGTCTTCATTGGAGTCACACCACTGTAACAGAAATCAGATCCTGGTTCAGAGTTTGCAGCTGTGACAAGCTCTTGCCATTTTGATGCCCAAGGATACAGCTTTGTAGATTTGTTTCTTTTCCCATCTTCCACATCTCCTGAAAACTAATCAGTGAGGGAGAGAGAGACAGATATTTAAATTCTAAAAAGGTAGCTCGCTGTACCAAATTGTTTCAGGAAATGTGTCCCAGCAGAGATGGCATTGTATATATATCAAAAATGGACTCTTGAGGTGACTGAAGAGATTTTGTTCCTTTCAAGTAACAGAGATCCCAGCGAGAGGACAGAGCTGGTTATACCTTCAGTTAAACCTATTAATCACACCAGATTATAGCCCTCTGTGGGACATAGACTCTCAGTAGATGAAGAGACAATAGTCCTAGAAGAAGTGATTCCACAGGGAAACTTGAGCACTGAAAACAAGCTGTGCCAACATCTCATTGATTCTCAGAAACTGGGCCATGTAGAGCTGTACTGCTGATGTTTGATAGCAGTAGTCTTAAGCGATGTCCCCTGAGACCATTTGAGTGAATGCAAAAGGAAATGACCATTGTTGGCTGAGAACTGGAGTGGGAAATAGAACATAGCCCCACCATACCTGCATCAATATTGATGCCTCGTTCAAAGGCTGCAAAGAACTGCTCTCCCTCAAACATCTCTACCATGTCTGATGGCTCTGGTCCTCTGTATCGGTCCTGAAGCTTTTTCAGAACTGGATCAACCTGCCGGAGATGGAAACAACATGAATGGCATGGTAGATGAGAAATATTTGCAAAGCCTGTCTCCACTACAGCCAGGCCCATGACATCTTTCATGCAGTCTAAAAGGGCAGAAAAGATTTTTCAAAGCATTAAAAAAAAAAAGAGAAAAGATTCTCAACACTGCCCTAAAAAAATAAAACCTACTGTAGAGAAGTCAGCTGCTCAGAATCACATGGTTCCTTCTGTTCTATTTCCAGGCTCAGTAAAATCCCCAAACAGATTCATGATAAAATGCAAGTCAACAGCTAAAAATTCATTCACTGTTACTGTGGTGTTTGGCAGTATAATTTTTAACCTGTCAATTACCTACCCACAATTAGGATGCTATCTTCTCCCACTTCACCCCTAATGTTTAGCGGCAGGGTGATATTTTCCCTATAAAACCCTTGTGTTGCAACGTCACCTAGCAGAAGCAGGAGTCACCTCTTAATGTCTTAAGACTATAAGCCCTTGTTTCATAAAGGCAGTGTGTACTGCATCACTCACAATGTGCTTTTATAACATCACACGCTGAACCCTTTGGGACCAAATGTGAGGAACATTTTTGTCTGGAAAAAAAAATGTCTGAGGTAAAATCCTCAAATACTGAAATCAGTGAGGTCTTTGTTGTTATTGACTTCAGTAGGGCCATAATTCTGGCTCAGGTGTTCAAGAGGGAAAATTTCCGTTCAGGTGTTTACAAGGGTATTTCTTTTCAATACTGAAGGACAATAACAAGGTCTGGCCAGGCTGGAGGATTATATCAAGACAGTATAGCTGTAACCTATAAGCCAGCATGTTGAACTAGGCAGGAAATCATTGTACCAGACAGCTGCAGGGAAGAAGCTGTTCTCTGGCCAGCTCCTAGTAGACAGGTGTCCATGCTCACTCCAGGCCCCTACTCATACATACACACTCAGAAATGACACACTCATTCAGGACAGCATAAGGTATACCTTGTGCTTGGGGACACACTGCAGCAAGACTTGCTCAGGGTCTTTTTTCCTCTGCAGAGCAATGAAGTTCACCTGGTACATGCGCAACCTCTCATAGACCTTCTTGGCAATACCACCGATGTACTTCTTGGTGGTATACCATAACCAGTACCTGGGGAAAACAGAAAGTGAGGGAGGGACTCTTAAATGGGAAGAGAAATCCCCATCAAGTCTACAAAACCAAGGGCATGTGTCTTAAACTTTCCACTTTGATGTAAGAGAACATCACCTAAACTAGAATCTCGATTCTAAAGGAGCTTGGTTTCCTCAAGCAACAGCCTCAGGTGCCCTTCTGTTCTCCTCACATAGATCATTTTCCAAGAAGCAAGAATGAAGGCAAGAAAGTTAAATGAAGACAGTAAAATGGTGGCATCGAACACACCGGGTGAAGGGAGAGATTCTGGTTGCTTAGGGGCATGGGGACAGGGAGTTTAGTATGGAATGGCTAGAGTCAGAGTAGGGACAGACTAGATAGACCATGGTCACTTCCCTCTGCTGAAACCCAGGTGGAGGAGTAGAGATTAAAAGCAAGAAGTACTGGGCAAAGCAATTGAGGCTATTAACAGAGTCATAATGCCAATGTATCCCATCCCGGCAGACGAGAGAAGTCCTATCTTGTCAATGCACTAGGGACTGGGTAGGGGAAATGGTAGGAAAAATAAATGACGGTAAAAGTGGCAAGGATCCTGGTTTTAGTGGTCACAAGAGAGGAGAAGAAGAAAACAAAGCCACCCGCTTTTCAGTCTTTTCTTCAAACACTGTCCATGAATGGACTGGAGCTCACCATGAGAAGTGGGTGACTTCAAATATTACATAGAGATGAGTAAACTCCAGCACCACCTGATCTGTGATGTCATCCCAAGTTTGGGCTTGGAGGTCACCATGAAGAAGATGTACTCTGGAACGATCCAAAGTTAGATCTAAAACCAGCAACAACAGAACAAAATTATCCTCAAGAGATACTACACGTTGTATAAGCCTCAATTGCATTTTGGATGACCATGACTTTGTTTCCAGCTTACTAACTTAGGAATCCTAGGGCAAAACAGCTGGAACTTGAGGTTAATTTTTTTTCTTACCTACAAGTGTTTACCTTTGGGAAATGCCAAATTCTGCTTTCACCAGGACTCTCTCTTGCTGACTGACCAAAGGCTGGCCCTGAATTCCCAATGCACTGGTCCCAGGCTTCCCCAGTAGGACACCTTGTCTTAACCTGACATTGTGGATGGATCAGGTAACCTAACTGATCTTTTCCTATTACCAACGTGCTTGGATATTCATCAAGCTTTTGTCTGCTTGGGCATTTCAGGGCAAGAAAGGGCTCCCAATACCAATTACATGACAGCAATACAAATAATAAGAAGTCTTACAGATGAGGCCAAGTAAACTCCCAAGCAGATTTTACTACCTAATGAGAAGGTCAGGAAAAATTGAAGGATCTGGGGATTAAAAACCTAGCAGAACAAATCTCTTCAATTTGTAATTATGTCTTCTCCCATTCATCACACCAAACCCAGCTAGATAAATGCATCTGTGGGTAGGAAACTGATTTAGGCCACAGCTAAATAAAATTGTTGAAGCTATCATTCCAGCACACACTATTTCAGCTGGTTGCATTATGCCTCACTTCCTATCTTAAGCTGAATGACATGAAGCACTTTCCTCAATGAAAGCATTACTGCGAGCTGCTAAGTAGCTGCCAGGTTCCACCCAACACGAATGGTAATAATCTGGATAAAACTGATTTCCAAGCTAGACTGGAAACTTTTTGAGATAAAGGCAATCTTTCTTGTTACTCATCAAGTCAATGCCTAGCAGTCATAACAGTGCACAAAAACCCTAGTCAGAATATCTAGAGAACCTTCTCTCAGCCACCTTTCCATAGGTGCAAGGCAAATGCAGATATGAACTGCATGCTAAGTTTTGGTTCCAAGAGAAATGTTCAGTCAGCCATGCTGTAAGCATGGGCTGACATTTTTCCCAGCTGTCTGAGGTATGTAGACACCATTTCCCACTAAAATGGGTGGGAAAAGGGAATCCCAAATGCCACCACAACACAGTTTTAGTGAATGGTTTATTGTGGGTGGATTATTGTTAGAGGTATAAAACATCATTCTTCTTGGTTTAGAACCTGTCTTAAAATGCCACCTTGAAAAATGAATGACTAAGTACTTTTGCTTCACCTCTAGCAGGAGAATATTGCTGCTGAATAACTATTTGTCAGTGCCTTATCTTGCTGTGCAGTATAAGTGCTCTATGTAGTGTGGGAATCTTCCTGAATTATTTCTGTTGGAGGCTGCAACACTGCTGAGGTGAATGGAAACATATAGATCAGAATTAGAGCTTGGATGTGCAACCTTTCCACTGCTTTCATATTCCCTTGTGCATTTAATAGCATGTAATGCTTGCAAAGCCTTTGAACAGCCCTGGGCAAAAAAAAGAAAAAAGAAAATGTAAAGCTATATATCACCATCTAAAAACCACTAGGATTTTTCCTGCCTTGCCTCTTTTTTCCCACTATAATTTTGGAAGAGAAATATGATAGTCCTTACCCTGCAGGGAGCTGATGGTGTTAGTATTGCTTCAGGATGGAAAAGACAAGTCCCAGAAGCACACTTCAGAAAAAAGTGGGAAGTAGGCGCTCCCTATGGGTATATCTACACTGTGGTCTGCAGTGTAGTGTAGTGATAATGGAGCTAAATAAGTACCTATAGCAGTCTAACCTTTTGCAGTCTAACTCCAGAGCACTTACTAGGTCAATTCACTCTGCTTCTTTGTGTTGTAGACCTGTCTCATTAGAGAGCTCTTCTATGGCTGATGTACTAAGCTTTGTGGCTAGGAACATCAGGGTTGCGCCTGCATGCCCTGAAAAGCCCTGGCTGTTTACAGCATAGTTTACTATCTAACAAATGTAATGACTTTAGCTGAGAAGATTTCTGTTGACCAAGTCCAGCAACAGACTGACCTGTGACTCCAGGTGGTAATGGTAGCTGAACTTTAACTGGCCTCAGGAAATCCAGAGAGGAGTTCTGGGAGAGACAGAGAAGAGCACTGGCTCTGGATTCTGGATCACCCATGATCTCCTTCAGGTCGTCCAGTGACACTGGCAATACCTTGACAGTAAAAAATAATCCAAACAGCTTAATGTCTGGCAGAGGGTAGAGATGCACTTTATAAACTAACAAAATGAGAGATGCATAAGCTTTTATGAGTCACAGCTCACCTCATCAGATGCTTGTGCATTTCTGATCCTATTTGTCTGTGAGATGCCCCACTACCCTGTGTTCTGCCTAATACAGCTAACTAACGTTAAGAACCTTAACAAACTGACTTTGTCAAATCAGAAGAAGATGCAGCAAAACCCAGCACAAACCACTGACTGGCTACCATGAGGAGCTGTGAATCCGTCATAGAGCCAGATTCTGCTCTTAGCTATTAGCTACTGTTATAAACCCAGCAAATGCAGCCCTGCCCCAGATCAAGTGCCTAGCACTACAATAGCAATTACAAGCATCTAATCAACCAATTAACAACCCACTAGTTTTAATGGACCAGCATGAATAGTAGCCCACTGACTCTCATTCACTGAGCTGGTATGCTATGCTTTTCATTTTCAGGGATGAGCAAGAGACTAATGCCTTATGTCACCTTTTGGCTTCTTAGGAGCAATGTGAGTAGAGCTCCATGCAGAACCTCATTCAGTCTTCTCGGGGAAAAGGCTAGAGGGACTAGAATTGGATTAAGGAAGGTTGTAGGACGGACAAAGCTTCTCACAGGGCTTTCTACACCCCACACCATGACATGACACAACTTCTCTCTGAAAATCCACTGCCTGGAAAGCTTACAGCCTTAGAGACAGGTAGGCTGCAGCAGGAAGTGGGGACACAATACATCTCTACATTATAGGCACAGTTTGTATAACTGCTCAGCCCTCCAGGACACTAGTTGAGTTTCTTATCAGGGACCAGCAGTCAGTACCTCTGAGAACTTGAGCAGAGAAGATCCAATGAGTGTTAAATGACACGAGTGGGTGCTGAACTACATCTGATCTCAGCAAAACATGCCTAATACATGAGTCATAAACCTACCATGAGTCCTATGTTCTCAAAACTCCTGCCATGCTCTAAGTACCTAGTTTTTTCCTCTAGACCAATACAGCTACAACCTGGATACCTGACACATGGAAGATATCAAATTTTAGCCGATTTTTAAAAAACGAAATCTTCATATTTTCCCAAGCATGAAGCAACTGTGACCACCTGAAACCTGAGATCCTGCTCCTGCCTTGATTCAACGGTAATTTGCATAATTACAGATCCTCACAGGAGGTGAGAGGCTCCGTATCAGTTATGAACTGACTGCCCAGAGGAGTTTTCCATCTATTGACTCCTCTGTGAAATCTGATGAAATATGAACTTTCATTTCTACCCAGGAGAACTTTTACAGTCTTTTCTCCAATGCCTGATGAAGGGTGTTATGTGCCTGAAAGCTTGCAATTAAATAACTTTTTTTTCAAAAATCTTGTTGGTCTAATAAAAGATATCATTTCTACTAGGAGTCCTCATTGCTTTAGCTCATATTACAGAGAGGAAAACTGAGATACAGAGGCTAAGTGTAAAGCCACAAGGAGTCCAGATCAGAAGTTCCCCAATCTGTGTCTGACCCACTGTCTCTTCCAGCTAGGCCACCTACCCTACTATCCAGCCCAACCAAAGGCAGCAATAACACCATGTCTAAGGTTATATTTTTGAATGACACACACCTGCAACCTGATCGTCCGAGGCTTCTCAGTGACTCCAGGAGGGAAGGTCACCTTAATGTTCGGATCCACTGTGGAAAAGAGCAATGTGCCCTCCCGTGGGACGCTGCACTTATTCTCCACGAGTTGAGAGATGACCAGGAACCAGGAGAAGTGAGGGACACTACAGAGTGCCATGTGCTTCTATTGCAGGACGTGGGGAATAGAAAACACATGCATAAGTGAGGTATTACACTATCTTTTGGACATGGAATGGGTCAAATTTTTAATAAAGTAATACTGGTAAACACCTAATGAGGTCTGTGGAATGATGGCAGCCAAAGGTTCATTTATACAGCATGTGTGTGTATATAATACGAGAGATACAATTGGTCACGCTTACATCCAAAGAAATCTACCAATAAAGTCAATTTACTTAAGATACAAAAGACAAAACTTGCACTATGACAGCTGTGAATGATATTATGGGAGACCAAGATGGTAGTATATGCCATGCTCCATACTGGTAGGGGAAGCATGGATTGATGTAACAAGGCAGGGCCCTGTTACTAAGGGTGTGGGGGAGTCTGAACAGCCCTGTACCCTGGAAGCACCTCCTCATGCCCACTCCAGACCTGGAAGGACTCACTGAAGTTCTGGGGAGATGCAGTGAGTCTCCCAGCAAGGGACCTGACACAGGTGTGGTGAATGAAGAAGAGTCAGACATGTGGGTCAGAACCAGCAGGGGGAAGAATAAAAGGTGCTGAAAACAGCCTCAGGGTGCTACACCTAGCTAGAGGAGGCTGCCTAGAGCCTAGGGTTATCAGGCAGCCCCCAGGAGGGGCCCGGGAGCAGGGCTCCTGCTCATTTCTTTTTGCTCCTTCATTTTGTTTGCATAAGCCGGCAGGCTCTGCAAAGCCTCTAAGAGAAAAGATGTGGCCAGTAGGAGAAGCCTGTGAAGATCTGCTGGAAGTCACCTAAGTGCTAGTTCATTTAACTTTTTTTGCTTATTTTGAATTTTTGACAAGCCCTGGGTAGCCTCGGGGTGTTATCTACTGGCCTGGCTGCAGCAGAGGCAAGGGCCCTGAACAGTGGGTCCTTGGGCAATGCCAGCAGCAAAAGTAAAAATGGTCAGCTCTGCTAGCCTGACCAAACATGCCTGGTTGTGATCAGCCCATAGCAGCTTACAGTTGAACCTTCACTAAACTCCCACTTCACTTCATATATGGCCCAACCCAGCAGAATCTATAGCAAGATGGAGCACTGCGCGCTGGAGCCTCTTATCTCCCAGAGCCACATCTCTACTTGAGTGATGGGCAGATGCTTCACTCCACTCCATTTAAGATGAACAAAGCGCACTACTTGGGGTCATCCAAAGCTCCCTTGGGTGTCTCTGGGTTGGGAGAAGTTGAGTCCTGCCACCCACTGCAGATGAAAATCGGGTATCTTGTACACGATGGGGGGTTATCCCAACCTGTTACCTTTGTCTTTCTTTTCCACTTCAGTTTCGTTCCCAAGTCACTCCAGCTCTGCCCACTGAAGGTCCGAACCACCACCTCTCGCTCGTGAATGGTTTGAGGGGAGGCGTAAGGCATGCAGATCTGCACCTCCTGGCAGGGTAATGGGAAAATGGGGCATTTTCATGAGACACCAACAAGAATAGCAGACCAATTCTAGTGGCCTTCACCCACTCCACTATATAGGCAAGGCAAGGCCAAGAGCAGATTTGAAGCAGGGAATGGAGGTAGTCAGGGAATTTGATCTCTTTTGTAGCCTGTCGGCACCAAAGGCAGCCAGACGAGGAGCTAAGGAGGATTCTCTGGCAGGAACAGTCAGGTGTATGTGTTGTTGTGTTTTTCAAAAAAGCTCAGGATCTGATGGGATGGCTGAGAAATCCTCATCTCCTGTTGACTACAATCTAACTTCTCTGAGGCTACTTGTGGGAGTGCTGCTCACCAACCCAAACTTGGTGACTTAAAAGGACTTTGGGTTCAGATGGTGTGTTGTGTTTGTGGAAGTGGGGGGGGGTGTTTGTTTAACTTGGGTTGTTTTCTCAAAAAGAATTCATCTCCTCACCTTATCCCAGCATACCCCAAGGGCAGGGTGCAAGTGGTCTCCTGAGATCAAACGCAGGAACAGGCCTACACTACAGGAGGAGAAGATGTATTGTATCTGAGGAAGGTCTCATCCCTAGAGCAGATCAAGTGCTAGGAGAGAGGAGGGTGAAGGTGCCAGGACAGAGCAGTCCTGAGGCAAAAGACCTTGCCAGCACTGAGTATTTTCTGTGGTGCTTTCTTTAACATTTGATCCATGCAAATGTTTGGGAGCAGCTGTCTGAGTTCCAGCAATCGGGGCACTTGGCACACAGGGTCCAGACAGACCCCATGGAGTAGCTCCTTTAGACCAAAAGAGGGTTTTTTTCTAGCCAAATCACATGTGCACATCTAGCCCCACAAGCTACAGCAAACCCAGAGTAGTACTCCACCCTCTCCCACCACCTGCCTCACCTGCTGGAATTCAAGCCCATGAGGCTGTAGCTCCAGGACTTTGCTCAACAGGATATCATGATGCCTCAGCTTCACCCACTGTGGGTCAGGAACGAGTGTTTGGAAATGGATTGTGATAGAGGTGGTGGCAGCCCCAGGGGGGAAGTAAAGCCGGATGCCGCAGGCCAGGAGAGCTTTGCAGCCTTTGGGTGTCACGGTAAAGCTTAAAGCAAAGGTTTATGTGAAGAACGGCATACAAGGACATCACTCAACTTCTCCTTTCCCACCTCCAGCCCCCTCCCTGACCAGCAAGACCTAAAGTCTGTGCATTAGATAGTAAAACTCTGACACATCAGAAACACCAGCCTTGTCTCTATCTGGTCCACCTGAATCAAGGCCAAGGACCCTCTGTGCAGCTCTTAGCCCAACGAAGCTCTGATCTGAGCTGGGTAATGCAAAGTACTATTAATTAAAGAAACATTCTGTGAAATACCTGCTCTCATCCGGTGCCAGGACCAGCCTTTGTAACTCTTCTGAGCTGGATTCATCTGCAGACAATCAGAATAAGAAGGGCAAGTGGGATAGAAGAGCAGTGCCAGTGGAGGCCATTTGTGACTCACCGATATGACAGGTTATACCTGGCTTCCTTTTTCCACTGGCATCATGCCACAACCCTCCCTCTGTCTTGCCAGAAAGATCTTTCCAATGAGCAGGCTGAGCAAAGGCATTTGCAAGGAGTATTTGTGTGTTAGAACGAACAGGAGTTCAGAGACTGTCTCTCAGGACTAGCTTTGTCTGTAACCACATATGCAGGCAAATGTCTTTCCTTGATTCATCCCCTCTCCTGTTACAACTGTAAACTCCCCAAGGAAGAGACAGATTCTTGCCTTTGCCTGTGCAGCAATACATATACTAGTAACGTGGTCACAGAAATAAATTGGGATCTAACGCTTACCCCTCACCCCCAACTCAAATCACATTCACAACCTAGCACGTGACACTTGCTGGAGACTGGAAGCAGCTGTTCAAGACCCAGTGAAGCAGAAGAGAGATAATTACCAGCCATCAGGGGCATCTCAGGTTCTCCTAGAGGATTGCCTCGGAGACGTACGAAAGGTTTGCTCTGGATCTCAGGGGGGATGTAGCGGAGCCTGTTGTTTTGCAAGTCAAGCCCGAACAAGTTGGGAAGGTTGGCGAGGGATGCAGGGACTGTCACTAGGAGATTGCTGTGAAGATGCAGCTGCTGCAGAGATGTCAAATTGGCTGCAGGTTAGAATAAGCAGAAAAATTGCCCCCTTGGTAGATCTATGGGTACAGATTCCATCAGCAGCTTACCACAATAGATACCCACTACCCAAATGCCCCTTCCCCCCCACTGCCTAACTCCCCGAAGAGAGACAAAAATCATAGAGGTGCCTAAACGTTGTCTGTATATCGAAATCATGGAAGAGGCACCAAGATCAGTGGAACAGGGAGCAGTAAAGTTCTTTCGGTCAAGGATCGTCTTTCTGTTTTGTGCGACAGCTCCTACCATGACAGGGTCCCTGTCCTATAACCTAGGCTGTGGGATGTAAATAATGACAACTATCATGGGAAAGGTCTGGGCACAGCAAGACAGAAGGCAGGAAAAGGTAGGGAAGTAGCCCCAGTCCAAACAGGCCTAAAAACACAGGTGACCCACACATGATTGAAGGCAGAGCAACCAGTTGGTGCAATTAATTGTTTCTCCTGACTTCCCTCCCCTTCCTCCTCACCCATCATACACACAGACACCTTGGTTCATATCAGCAAACCTGCACAGAAGCAGAAACCCTGTCAGAGGCCTGCCAAGGGCCCAGATCCTCATCTGAGATAAATGAGATTGAAGTTCCTGGAGTTATACTGATGTCCACTAACCAATGATTGCACAGTGGGTTTTCTTTTCACTCTTCAAGGTGACCAACTGACCAATCAACTGAGCTGAGTTGGCTCCAAACAGACTAGATCCTCCCCTTTTGCAAGTAAAACTAGGGGGATCTCCCAAAGAACCTCATAGTGAGAGAGACCAAATTGCATCTTGAGGCTGATTTTTTTTCATGCCTTTCTGCTCAAGGACCCATCCACTCTATTTCAGGAGCAGGAAATTTCTGTCTGTCTCTCTCTCTTCTAGGCGCATCTCTTACCTAGTGAGTCGGGGACATGAGTTAACTGGTTCCCTGAGAGATTCAGCTCCACGCAATTGTAAAGATTCCCAATTTCCTCAGGGAGGCTTTCCAGTGTGTTCTCAGATAAGTCCAGATTCTGCAGTGCTACCAGCTCCCCAATGCTCTGAGGCAGATCCCTGAGATGGTTTTTTATGGCGGAGAAGACAGTCAGCTTAGTGAGATGACCAAAGTCCTCAGGCAGCCCCACCAAGAAGTTGTGGCTTACCACAAGTACACCAAGGTTGGCAAGCTGGGTGATGCAGCTGGGTAAGCTGGAGAAGCTATTGAAGCTGAGATCCAGGTGAGTGAGGCACATGAGGTTTCCAAAACTGGGAGGCAAGGTTGTCAGGGAGCCTCTCTGACATGCACCAAATTCATCCTGGGCATGTCCACCTGGGGCAGGGAAAAAGAGAGAGAGAGGCCTTCATCTTACACAGATTATATGTGGTTAGTTAAAGATGTTCATGCATAATCACGGTCACGTCAATAGGATGGAAAACTGGAAGGAGTTCAGTTCACAATCATTCTGGACAACCACCACCCTCCATCCTGCCCATCACTCAGGTCTAGACCTGGCAGTCTGCTTCCCCTGAGCCCTCTCTCTAGGTCTTCCTATAGACGTGGCCATCATACTTACCAATTCTTTCTGCATGATGTTTCTAAGAGCTGGCCTTTCCTATCCATCCATCCTGCTAAAACTCATCATCTCATGCCTCAATCACTACCATGTCCTTTTCTCTGATGTGGACAAAAGGCTGTGTTGCCTCTCAAGTATGCTACCACAAAGTTTATTTCAAAGCTCATCATTTTATACAATGACCCCATCCTGTCACCCCAACTCCCCACTTCTTCCACATCTCTGTACTCACTGCCTCCTTCTCTATCACAGTGGTGCTCAACCTTTCAACCCTATGGGCTGGATGAATAGCACAGGACCAGTCCACAGGCTGGATCAGGCTCTGCATGCCAGGACTGTGCCCCTCACCACCTCTGCCCAGCTCTGTGCCAGCCTGAACAGCCCCATGCTACCCTGATCAACAACACACTGACCCAATTAGCCATGCACCATCCCAATCAATCCCACACCACCCTGATTAGCCCCAATCAGTCGCACATCACCCCAGTTAACCAGATCAGCTCCCATCAGCCCCACATGCCCAATTCAGCACATAGGCCCACACCATCTGCCCCACGGAGCTCCCCACAGGTCCAGAAATTTGGCAGCAGGAATGGCTATTAGATGCCACTGCTTCCCCACTGCCAAATGTTCAGACCATGAGGATATCCATGTGCTGGATCTGGTCCATGCACTGAGGGCTGAGCACCCCTGCTCTATCACATTAAATAAGCTGCTTGTCTGCACTTTCAAGGCTCTCCCTGGCATTCTCAAAGGATTTCTGGCTGGTTTGTGATTTAATAAGGCAAGTGATACACCCAGAAAAAAAGTGTTAAAAAGCAACATGTGAGTCAAGCTCAGCCTTCAAAAAATATACCAGCATCCTCCATACACCTTTCTTCTGCCATCCCTATGTGAATGTTTACATCGTAGGATACCAGAGGATTTTTTTGTTACACAGTAGAAGAAAGATTACTATTTGGGAAACCCTGGATTAGCAAAGTAACAAACAACTGGTTTACAAAGAGGCATATAAAAACATACTAATTATTCGTTACTTTGTTTATCCAGAGTTTCTCTCCTCAATATCAATATTTACTGTGTGACACAGGAGAAAAACCCTCTGGTACACACTCTGTTGTGCTGCAAGATGCTCAGGTATCCATAGGAAAATGTTGTCATCTCCAGGGATGTGCTGTCATCTAAAGACAAGTAGTGTCATCTGATGGAGAACCAAGAAATTAAGTCATTTGCCCACAGTCACATACAAAGTCTGTGGCAGAACAAGGGACCAAGTCCCTGACTAGCAGTAACTACTGGGCTGCCCTTTATCATGGAAGTATCTATGTGTTTCCCTTCTGAAAGCCGGGTGGTTCAATATTGTTAAAGGTTACTAGACACATGCTTGTAGCGTACAGATCCCAAAACCAAAAATAATACAATAGTCAACGGATGTTTCTCTCTATATTTTTAAGCATCATCAGACCACAGGCTCTAAATCATGCATATATACATATATATATATATATATATCTATATATCTATATATATATATATATATATATATGTATATATGCACACATCCACACTGATATTTTTTGTGTTTTGGGTAAAGTGACAAGCACCCACTTCTGCAAATGCAGCTGACCTTCCTTGAACCCTCTTCCCCATGTTATGCTAATGCCATTTGGTTTATGATCTGGCCAGAAAACCAGAACAGAATGAAATCCAGTGAAAGGGACTGTTACGCTTTCAAAAAAGGGAGATGAGAAGGGAGGAAAACAGGTGACCACACATTCTAACGTCTTCAAATCAGACTCTCTTCAACTGAAAACATCTCATTTCAAGTGACTTTAAAATAAAAGACCGCACCTGTCAGACTGAATGAAGTCAGGAAATTGGTCCCCAAGCACTGTGGAAACAAAGGAAGGACGTAAATGCCCTTAAGCTGCATCTTGCTAAAATCTGCCATTTGTATGCAGCTCCCAACTAGCTCAGCTGAGACCTGGAGCCACTGCAAGGGGCAGCTAGTACACAGTGAAAATTGAAAGTCCATCTGTCCGGCAGATGTGCAGGCTTACCTTTGAGGACCAGGGATTTCAGGCTCCTCAGGGCAGGCAGGATGGCCAGCGTGGAGGCTATGGGGTCCTCATTGCAGTTCAACCGCAGGAACTCCACCTGAGTCACCTCCTTCCTTCGCTTGTCAAACAGGTCAAGAAACTGGTGACAGCCGTCAGGATAAACATCCAGGTTAAGCCTGTTGCCTGCAAGGCGAGATCCATCCAGCTCGGGAGCCACCAAAATGCCCTCCCCCAAAGCATCCCCAGGCTCTTGCAGCTTGGCCATCTTCTACTGTCGGTCTGCTGGGGACCAAGCATGTTCTGACTTGCCAGGCGGGCAAGCACTGGCAGCCCCACTGCAAGGCAGCCGTGAAAAGGAGACAGGAGGCTCTGAAAAAAAGAGGACAAAGCACTCAGTGAAGCCCTGTTCATATGGGCACTGTATTTATTTCACCACAGATTGACAGAAGAGGGGGGGGGGGTGGAATAGCCACCAAGAAAGCATCCCCTCCCTTTAGACAGAAAACAAATTTCATTTGTGTAGTCACCCAGGCAAAAAGAGACTTTAATCGGGTAATAGTGAATACTGAAGGGGTCACATCTTATGTTAACAGATCTCAAAGTACTTGGCAAAGGAGGACAGTATCATTGTCCCAAACACAAATTGGTGATACTGAGGCAGAGTGATGGAGAGATGTGCCCAAGGTTAACCAGTAGACCAGTGGCAGAATTAGGACTGGACCCCTCAGCCCTGTCTTCTGTCCAGAGAGTGATGGTACATGGCTGTGCAACTAGTAGCAAGGCCATGCAGGTCAAGCCAAGCCATGTCAGGCCAGAGAAGATGACACTAAGTAAACCTGAAGCTGAAGTGTACCAGAAAGGGCTACTGGCACTCCTTCTGGCTCATCCAAGGAATTAAAGGGAGGTTTGGGAGATGCTAGTGCCAGAAAGGCCTGACAGGGACTGAGGTAATATAGTGGTTGGGAATGAGCCCTGCAGGATGTTGCATTGGGAAGGACCAGCTGCAGGAGACTGCATGCCAGCAGACCCGGAGCATCTTGTTTCTGAGCAGCACTATCTGCCCTGTGGCCCTGTCAACAAGACTCTCTCATCACAAGGACCTGCCCACTGACAACAGATGTGGCAGGGGAGTCAAGGACAGAAACTAAGTTTGACTTCTGTGTTGGCCATATGGACTACACAGCACCTGAAGAAGGGGGCTGGGGTGCATGGTCAAGCACCCAAATGGATGCTCTCTGTGCAAATGAGGAGTGCCTTCAACTGCTACTGAAACGCATGAAGCAACATCCATTTTTTTAAGTATCAATGTCTTGCAAGGACCGCATCCAAGAAGCACAGATGCAGTCAATAAAAACCTAAGTTCCAGCTTGGAAGCAGACAACAGGCAGAACTTTTTTCCCCCCTCAGCAACCTGCGTAATTCTTAAAGGGAGAAAAATGAATGAGGACAACACAATACGGTCCACTATTACAGTAAGGGATAATGTACAAGGACTCATGCAATATTCTTATGTGGACTCTCTACTTCTTTGCTGTGTAATAGGAAATACATATTTGCTTGAAATGTGCAGAGACATAAAGGAGGGGAAAAAATCTCACAGCTTATGCACTAGCAGGTAGTGGGAAGAGCAATGGAGGCCACGCACACAGCCTTCCAGGAGAAGAAGGGCTTGACAAGAGTCTGCTTACTGTGATAGTGGACAGTATCATATTATCCTCATTCATTTTTTTTCCTTTAAGAATTACGCAGGTTGCTGAAGGGGGAAAAAGTTTTGTCTGTTGCCTGCTTCCAGACTGGAACCTGGATTTTTATTGACCACATTGACAGTATGAACTGAAAGAAAGCTCACCTTTACAGCCTCCTTCATTTGTATAGTCCGTTATCCCAGTCAAAGTGAATGTAAAAGGCACCAGGCTGTTCTCATCTGACAACCCTAGGTTTTGGAGGGGGCAGCATCATTTACCCATTTGCAGCAGAGGAGGGAATGTCATACAGTGAGCCCCAGTGGTCATCCACCAAAGCAGGGGCAGAGTCAGGAGTGCAACCCAGCCCTCTGCTGTCTAATGCTCCAGCCACTGAGGCCCTTGCCACCGATGGGTGAACCCCGCAATAAATTTAGACTGTTCACCCATGCAAAGTAATGAGCATGCCGGAAAAACATCCATCCAGCTGTGAAGAGAGCCACCCAGCTACAAAGTGAGCGCTTGAAAATGTGCGACAACTTTGTAGCTGGTTTCTATCTGGTGCTCATTTGAACGTGTGGCAGGGCCCCAAATGACACTGCTGCTCCAGGGCACTTGGGGCACAAGCCATGGCATTGTCCCCGAGCTGCCCTGGGGGTGAAAGTCCCAGAAACCCAGAATGACAGATTGCGGGCAGGCAACTCCCAACACCTGGCACTAGAGGAGGGGGAAAAAGACAGGGGCAGGGGAGGAACACACACACACACACACACTCTCTGCAGCCTGCCTCTTCTCCTTTGCACGCACACACATCCAAGATCACAGCCTGCCTCTTCCCCCCCCCCTTGCACACACACATACACACACCCAAGATCGCAGCCTCCCGCTTCCTCCCCCCTTCCCCCCGAGCCTACCGTGCGCGGGCCGATGCAACAGGGAAACCTCCCCTTCCTCCCAGCAAACTTTGCAACGAGTTTGCAAGCCGGGGAGCGGCGCGGTAGCGGGCGATCCAGGCAGGCCGGGGCCCGGGGGCAGGAGGAAGGAGCGATCCCCGTGGTCCTGCAGCAGCACGTGGGCAGGGGCTGGCCGAGGGGCTCTTACCAGGGCCGGCCGCCTGCGCCCAGCGCGCCACTGATCCGAGCCCGGCCCAGCCCCGGCACAGGCCCTTCCCTGGCTTAAAGACACAGCCCCGCTCAAGTGCGTCTCAATCAGGGGCTCCGGAGTGCAGCGAAGGTCATAGCACGACAGGAAAGCAGGGCTGGGAGGGACCTCATGAGACCATCCAGTCCAGCCTCCTGCTCAAGGCAGGATCATCCCTGGCTGGGCCATAAGAGACCCCATAGGCAACTAGTGTCCTGGCCATTTGAGCAGAGAAGACTGACCCTGCCCCACTCCCACCTCCCCAGATGCAACAGGCCAGGGTCAGGGACAAAACAGGCTGATGGAAGAAGAGGGCAGAGTTGGGAAAGAGGTGGCGACTATTAAATAAAGATGGGCAGAAAAGGAGATCTTGAAACTCTAGGCAAATACCCAACCAAGTACACACATACTCCAGGCTAGGAAGGGACAAGAGGGTTTTTTTAAAAAAAAACAACATTTTTTTTGTGATTGGCATTTGATCTGCTGGCCACCTTCTCTCTGTTGCGCCAGGGAGAGGAGGATGGGGGGCTGTGGAGCTGCTAGCTGCTCCTAGGAGGGAAGGGGCTTAAAGGAACCCCTCTTGTGTGGTTGGAATGGCTAAGGCATGCACGCACACAGGTAGGGGTAGCTGGGTGTGCATAGATAGGTGATTCTCAGCCAGGGTGGTGTTAGTCCCTGGGGTGCCTTGAGAGCCTTTTAGGGGTGCTACAGGGTACCATTGTGAGGTGTGCAAGCATGCCCCATGACATAAACCTGGAGATTTCAAGCAGGAATCTAGCTGCAAAAACACTGTGATCCATTGTGGTGGTTCCAGGTTCTTTGCAACGGAAGGACTGCTGCTATTTTTCTGTGAAAAATGAGTGAAACCAAGAGCTGGGCTTTACCAAGGGGTACCTTGAGTCTAAAGAGAGATACTCTGAGTCTAAAAAAGGTTGAGAACTACTGATATATGGGTTGCTGCATATACGCAGAGGAATTTTCTTACAGAATTCTAGGACTGGAAGGGACCTCAGAGGCCATCTAGTCCAAACCCTTGTGCAGATGCAGGATGTGCTATCCCTAAACCACCCCAGGCATACCCCATGGAGCCACTACCTGAAAAGCTCCCATGAAAGAGATTCCTTGGCTTCCCTCAGCAGCTTGTCCCACTGTCCTGCTGACCTTGCAGTCAGGAATTATATTCCTGAGATGTGATCCACATCTCCTTTGCTGCTCATAATGCATCAGCTACATTCATAAAGGCATTTTGATGTACCTCCATTGGTAACACTGATTATTATTGGTGCTCTTTTGGCCTAAATGGTTAGTCAAAATGTGGGGTCTATCCAGACTACTTTTGCTAAAAGGACATGTCTTTCTTCTTCTTTGGCAATCCCTTGCAGTTGAGGATGACTGTCTTACTGTGTGTCTGAAGATGGCTGACAAGACCCATCCTGGATTGACAGACTCTACTGCAGCTCAGATGTGTTTGTGTGTGGGGTGGTTGGTGCTGGATTTTTTACTTGGTCCACAACACGCTGTTTCTGCTGCTCCCACTTCTCCATCTCCTGTTGTTGTTGTTGTGAGGTTTCAAAGTACTGAGATCCCTGCAGCAGACTCTTCCTCTCCGTGGGGTGGTCCTGGGCAATAGTCTCCCATGAGCTGACATTGATGTTGCATTTTTTTAAGTTGGCTTTGAGGACCTTCCCTGAAGCACTTTCTCTGCGCTCCTCTTGAATGTATGCATTGGCTGAGCTGGGATATATCAGTCAGAAATGGCTTTGGTATAATCATGTTTAGAGACAATGGATATGCATGAAGTAGAACAAAGTAGCAGCAAAACACAGCTGGTGGTTTGCATGTTCAGAAATTCAAGCATGTTCAAGCATGTGCCCAAAAGAAGCTGTGTCCCCGGTTCCTCATAGGGTTGTGTACACAACAGTTTCTCTCACTATCAGCTGGTTTCCTCTTGGCTCTTGATCTCTCTCTCCTACAGGCACAGTCAAACTCCTAATCTTCTAACCCCTCTGTTTATAATCAATCCCAGGAGCATCCCTAAAACCACCTGACTTAAGTTTACTCAGGCTTTGCCCAGTGGCCTTGTGCCTTGGGTGATGGTCTCCTATTGTTTCCTGTTATCATAACATAAATGGGTATAACTGTTATTACCACTTAGCTTGAATGAAGGGTGGCTGGCCTACCAATCAGATTTAGCCTGCTCTGTGACTGATAGCAACCATTATCATCATCTCCTATTATTTACTGCCAAAAAAGGCCCAGCCAGGATCAAAGCTCTGTGGCATTAATAAATGCTGTAATAAATATGTCGTCAAGCATGGTCCATGCTCTGATGTAATTTAATTCTCTCTTCTAATCGATAAGCCACGGCAAATGTCAAGGGCTATAGGCTGTACAGGAGGGACAGGACAGGGAGGAAAGGCGGGTGTGGCACTCTACATTAAGGAGGAACACACATCCTCATCAATTAGCACAGAGTCAGAGGAGGGGCACTCTGAAGTGCTCTGGGTTAGAATACAAGGCAGTCGA